ATGGAAGCGACTTTAGGCCAAAAAGAGTCCTCGCTCCAATTTTTCCACCACACAATTTTGAAAGCGATAAATCTTCCCACCTTTTTAATATTATTTTGTTTTATTTCAATACTTAAAAAATAACAAAATCTGCCGAATTATATTACTGCAGAAAAATTTATAGTTAACAATGTTTTATGCATTAAAGTAGTATCAATTTAAAAGATGAAAATCCTTTGACTCTTAATGAATATTTAGTTATTTAGTGTAGTAGTTAAATGGTTAAAGTTGTGTTGTGCCTAAGAAATTTGCTTTTGTCGTATTGTTTCGTGTGTACGGACCTTAACATCGTTGAACAAGTTAATATTATAAATTAAAAGAACTGCTTTTGAATAACGGTAATAAACGGGAACATGATAATTTGAATAATAAACTATGCCATTAACTGTAATAGGTTTGATTAATATTATGTAAAGAATTAATCCTACTTTATTAAATACGCAAAAAGCAATCTTATGTCATTCAACATTAGAATTTTATTTAAAATCATTCGTTTGATCAACACATGTGATGTTTTTATAATATTATGTAGTGAAATAATATTGAAAACGATTAAAAGTTCCTCCATAATTCTTTTTTAAAAAAAAATAGCTAGACAACAAACTTGTTCTTAGCGATTAACTCTGAGAATCTTATTTAGAGTTTTGGGTATTTTTAATATTAAAATAATTTATAACGCAAAATGCTGACACTTAAAGCGCAAAGTTTTTCTATCTCAAGCACCAGCAGCTGCATAATTAAGCTTTGTCTGCGTTATTGTTTATGTAACAAAGTTTTATTGAAAAAAAAAATTAAGTTCTCGTGTCATAATTTTAGCTATCATACTCTTCCGAAACGGTTTGATTGAGTTTGATGTAATTTTACATGTATATTCAGTGGGTCTGAGAATAGGTCAACTTGTAATCTATTGTTATACCCTTAAGTTATAAGGGTGGTCCACCTCAAATATATATGACAAAACAACATTTGCCAGGTCATCTAGTATTATTGTTTATAATAATTTATTATAAACATGAACGCTAGGTTTTAATAAGCAAATTAAAATTTTCCATGTTAAATTACATAGACTATTGAAAAAGAGAAAATAATGTTGCAATATATAATAAAGTAATTTACACAACTTTATTGGATGACATTTCATTGCTCATGCTAGCGTTTAGTTAAACTCATATTTTTAATTCTAGCAAAATTAAATTATGGATATTATTAAGTACTTATTCTTATTCGATGTGCCTTATAATGTTAAGTACACAATGGCCTACATATAACAAAATATAGCACCATCTTAAAAATATATATAAAGTATATCTAACAAACTCTCGTCTAATTTATTTTCAAACATATGACTTAGATACATTTTGATATAAATTCGGTCATGTTCTACTTATCTACTAGCTATTTAATAATATATTTTTGTTGCTTCTAAAATAGTGTAACGATGAACACATGAAAATAATGTTTGATTCGATTGGATAAAAATGTCCGATTTATTAACACTATGCCCAGTTTAGGAACTAGGATCTATATGTCTAATTTTAAAAATCTATCGCAATTTCAATTTTGATAGTTGAAAAATATTCACGAACTTCACGCTACAACTATTTGACATGAGACAGTTTTTTAAAGATATTGAGCGAGTCTAAGGCGAGTGTTAGACGCAAATAATACCATAACTTAAGAAGTCAATACTGTTACTTGTACATTCAAATCATTCATTCCGAAAGCTTTTGAGACTTTACGTCATTCGATAAAGCGCTATTAAAATTGCTATACCTTTAAAAGGGGTTGCGATAGATTCTGAAATAAGACATTAGCCCACAGGGTATAAAAATCAGATAGAAGCCAGATACTGGCAATGTCAGTCTACTTTCAACCGATAAGTATTTATTAAGTAATTTTAATCTGCATTTGATTACACACTTTGGTTATGAAATTGTCTACTGGTATTACAGAAATTACACAACTTACAACGCTTGACAACGACAACATGGCCGATCTGTCATTTTAGTTCCATAAATTACCGCGGGACTTTTTTAGTGAGATAGAGTTTTAGAGTAGATATGAGTTAGGGAGGTTAGATCGAAGAGTTCAAGCACTTGAATAAAGTACGACTTTCCCTGAGAGAATGCACATTTTGGCTTAATCCATTGTTCGTTTTTTTCACGTCTAAGGACATTGTTAAAAAAATAGAATAAAGATTATTTTACCAAAATATACTGTAGATGATCAAAAAATCATGGCAAACTATTATTGCGCGAAAACAATGACATGGTTACGCAACGTAAAAGAAGCGATGTTTCCGTTGATATATGATTCTTTATTTTGATATACAGGGTTTCCAGGTGTCTCATCTTAGGTTACTTGGGGCTGATGTAGTTTTGACCATTTTTCATTAAAAAATTAGGTTTAATTACTAGATAGCTAGCATCATTTGAAACGTTTATTCTATGACATCCGGTAATTTTCTTTAATTCACTTACATACAAAAATACATTTTAATTTAAATTACTGCTTAATTGATAACAACTTTACGTGCATATGTGACAAGAAGAACAGTTTATGGCACAAATTTTAATATCGTGTTCGAATCCGTAACTGTAAATTATATTCACGGTTTCCTTCGTTTTTTTTAACTTACCAACATTGATAAGAAAAAGAGGTTGCTATTAATATTCCTAGTGCAACCGGAGTTTGATTAGTATTTTTTGTCAAATCACTTGGTTTTTTGTAGTACGTTTTAAAATAAGTAAGTTGTCGTTATGGAAGGGGTCGCAATACATTTGCAAATTCAAATAATTTCCCCGCTTAAACTTAAAAATCTCATTGCGTGACGTCTCACGTGACTATCTTCACAGTTGTAAAAAAATGTGCATCCACTGCAAAATTACCCTGTATAACAGATATGTAAAAAAACACTTTTCTAAATCTTTAGTGAAAATTCTATTTTTTTTACATTATTTAAAAGTGCATTCCCTCAGCAGTCGCATTATATTTATCTGTGGTTTTATTTATATGCTGACGTTGTCGCTGATGGTGGATATGGGTTGTGATGACCGTTGTGCTGGGTGTAGGGGGCACGGTGGTCGTTTCGTTCGCTTGTTGCGGTGCGGCGGCCGGAGGCGGGTGGGGCCCTGGTATTTGGTCAAGTCGCCGGCCGACGCGGATTTATCGAACACCTGAAAGGTAACATATATAATATTTATTTAAGATACGAGTGCGGAAAGTAAGGTTTTACGAATAAGGGCCACATTGATCTAATATCAAATTCGAAAAACCTTTTACACTCAAGTTTCTTTTTTCAATGCTTTTTGCGAGGAAATAAAACAAATATATAGGTTAATAAAACTAAGTATGTATTGCCAAAAAAAAAAAACTTTTAAGCACGTGTGCAGTAAAGGATTTCAGTATATTTTTTATTTAACACGTGTTTAAAGACTCACTTTCGGTGTTTACAATGAATTAAAAAAATAGCGCTTTATGAGCAACTGCATTGAAAAAGTTAATAAGTGATCAATATAAAATATGGAACTCATATCTGTCAGTCTTATCTTGTATAATAGAGATGATGCCTGAGTAAAAAAAAATAGATATTTATTAGCCCGTCACTCAGATAATAGGAAAATATTAGATACGTATTTTTTTAGGTATTAATTTTAGGGCTCGCTACGTCACAGTTTTTTAAGAAAATATACAAAAGCGTGACGGCATGTGACATTTTAACTCAATGTGTTGCGGTAATTCAGTGAGTACACAAAAAAATGTGTTTAATATTTTTCATCGATCTACCTGACGGACAATCAAAGAGGGATAGCGATTTTAGTCATAATCGCTTTTGGAACGAACGCTGGTGCCAATGATCGAGAAAGATAATAAAAACTTTCTTCAAAACTAGAAAGATTCCAGTTAGCAATTAAATCTTTCGTTTTAAATTTTTCAATTTAATTTAATCTTTCGTTTTAAATTTTTCAATTGCTTTCAAACTTTTAAACTTTCGCATTGCATTATATTAGATTGTATAAGACGTGGTCATGAACTGACTCAGCCCGTGCCCACGGTGTTACCTGGTCGAAACGTCGGGAAATATAGGTAGGTGCAAAACCTACCTGCTAATCTATCGCGTTAATACCCGTCTTATACAATCAAATTCTCATTAATCTCGAAATTACGATATAATCAATATTTTGAAATGTCACACCTTTGTACATTTTCTACATAGTTGTGATGTAACGAGCTCCTCATTAAACTTTGACGCTTAAACAATATCATCAATTTTATGTGGCGGTTTCATGAAATACAAACTTTCATGAAATGGCCGGCTGGATCATGAATTCATCAACACGATATGGTCACGACATATGCATTTATTTTAAAATATTTTTGAAAAAAAAAACGAAATCGATAGGTACGTGTTTAAAACGCTACAAAGGGATTAGTTATTATCAGAGGTCGGAATTAGGTAGAGTTATTTATGTACTTGCATCGAAATGTTGATATTAATGTGGACCTTCCCGGGATTTCTTTATTTCTTCTTTCTTTATTTCTTTCTTTCATTGATGTAAGTTTGGCAACGTCGTGCGTGCAGTAGTTTAAATTGTGTAAAAGTAAATAACTTTTTATTTAAAAAATCACGGGATTTTTTCTGCTCTTTAAAATTAATCTCGGGATTTGAGGCATATCCACTTTATTCTTTCGCTGTATAAAATCAGTGTAAATACATGAATAACTCTACCTAATTCCGACCACTGGTTATTATATTAAAGAATATTTTACTAATGCAGATTTATAGTAATTATATCTACGTCCGGAACGAGTAGCTAACAGATGTTAGGTACTATAGATAACTATTACGATATACTAGTACTATAGATATAGTACACAGTTTGATAGCTTAATATTATTTTGTTATTGGTTTCAAGTAATCTTACCTTACGGGTGTTTTGGGGCGCCGGCTTTGGCCGAGGTCAGTCGATCACGTGTTTTATCTTCACGTATAACACACATGAGAAAAGGAATCCGAAGATCGGTATGACAGACATACCCACGCCGACCGCAGCTAGTATTATGAGATGGTCTCTTATATGGTCTGTGAACTGTCTTATACAACCCTGTAAGAAACATTGATTATCGGTTATTGATTATCAGTTATATTTTCACTTTTAAATAAAATCATTCTGTATTATGGTACATATACATAAAGTGAACCTGGTAAGATGTTTTAAATAAATTACTAATTTTGTTGAATACGAATGGTAGTGTTCCTATTGTTTATTAGAGGAGTGGTCGTGTGCTATACTCACATTGTACTGTTTGTCGAAGAAGTGGGCGTGAGTTGTAGATACTCACGTTGTAGTGTATGTGGCAGATGTGGACGTGTGTTGTACACACGGTGTTTATGTACGTGAGAACAGTTATAAAAGTGGTTGTCACTTACTTTGTAGTGAACGTTGGAAGGGCGGTCAAATGTTTTACTCGCGTTGTGATGTATGTAGCATATGTGGTTGTGTGCTGTTCTCATGTTGTGATGATGTATGTTCTAACATACATCATGTATGGTATGTTCGTGTTTTATATGCAAATTGTAAGCGTGTGTAACAGAAGTATCGTGACCTACGTTATTTTCTATGTTGGATATGTGGACGTGTGTATGCTAAAGATGTGGTCGCGTGTTGTACTCACGTTGTAATGTATGTTGGAGGGGTGATCGCGCGTGCCGCAACGCGTGTTAACAGTCTTACAGCAGGAGTCAGGTACGAGTAGACGTGGATCATGCTCATGCCAGGCACTACGTCGCCAATCTTGGAATCTCACCGCCCCACAGCACTTGAACTGAAACCAATTAAATATGTAGTTTAAATCTACACTGACGATATCTCTCGAAAAAACTATGAAACCATATCATTCGAATATATCTATAGATAGGCAAATTTGTATAATTACCAATTACAACCAAAACGAATACAAATATTGATTCGATACGTTGATAACTACAAAATGCTTGGATAAGAATAATGTTTAAGTTTAATTTGCATCAATAATTTCAAATTTTCAACAATGTTAAAGTTAAAGCAACATTTTAGGACAAAAGATTTTATATTTTTTCAAGTGACGCTTATAGAAAAATAAGTAACAGTTGTCAGGAAAAATCGAAACATTACCGAGGCTGGAATTATAATCGGATTTATCTATTAATCTGCTGATTTTTGTTTACCTCCTCCTGCATCTTATCGACAGCGTCAGTGATGACGGTGTCTAAAGCGTAGTTAGACAGGAATGTGTTGTTTAGTTGTGCACGCAATTCTTCTTCCACTGCCACCTCGTAGTAATACGCGAGACCACCCGCGCCCGCCTCCAATATGAATGTGATCAACAGGAAATAAGTATACTGAAAACAAATTAATTGAAAACATAATACTCATACTCTCAAAATTGTGGTTGTGCAAATGCTTTATATAGTTGGCGTTTGTGGTTTGGTTGTATTAAACAACAAAAAAAAAATAGTTTTTGTTATGGTTTGTCAGTGGCATTTATGAGAGAACGACACCTCGTCTGGAAGCCTAGAGTTGCATTTTCGAGGGAAAAACGGCTTCCGGAAGGAATTGCGGATAGAAAAGGAGCGTATAAAGTAATCAAGGAAGTAGGAAGAAATTGAAAGGGATGTAAAGGGTTATGTATCCGGTGCAAACTATGCACTTGTGTGCGTGTTTATAGGTAGAATGATGTTCTTAAATTTTCCCGAGTACTGTTAACGACGTTCTATAGCGTCAATGTAATTTGCGGCCCACGGAACAATTTTTTGAGGTACAGCTTAGTGGGATTACAAAACTATTTTTGTTGCTTAGCTCATAATAATAACACAACAAAGGAAGTGTGCTTTATGTCTTAAGATAATTTTCAGTTCGATCACAAAAGGCTGAACTCATTTAGCTGACGGTTAAAAAAATTGTCAAGTCGAACAATAGACGTGTTTTGTCAAAGAGAACGCAATTAACAGACTGAACAGGTCATTGCACTCAATGGAACTATCCAAGTCATTTGTGCTAATTAACGGTGCACACGTACCTACTAAAAGCCCGTGCTTTAAATACTTGTATATTATCATAATATATTATGGAGTATGTGTTTGTCCAGCCGCGCGTAAGCTGCCAATTTTTTTTTAAAACCTTTTTATAATAAATTGTACTCTAGTTTATAGTACGTCTTACTGAACCTATTGATATGTTTTATTAGAAATAACCGCACTATGATTATCTGTGTCGTGACGTCAAACGTAATCTAACAAGCATTTACCAACAAAATTTCTGAATTGGAAAACGTCATATTATTTCCCATGACGTTTTAAAACCACCAAGATATTATATTTTCTGCATTAAAATAGAACTAATTTTTAAATTTAAATTATGCAGTTAATCTGCTTAATTATGGCATGTACACACGGCATGTCAGATTACCACAATATTTCAAATTTCTCCAGTTGATTTAAACTACAAAACATTAAGGTTTAAAATTAAGTGGACAATCTTGATAGATTTGTATGACGTGACGTTGACTGTACACAAAGACTAGTGGGGAGATGTAGTTTTATAACAGATTACTAAATATAATGGGACTCTTGATTGCATCTCACATTTGTATGTATTCAGTAGGGGATATGTTAAGATACCTGAGCATAGGCCTAATTGTCTAACAAAAAATCTATCGCAAGCCCTTTCATTTTTACATTTGAAACGAATTCATTAAATTCACGCATCTACTATTGAATATGTGATAGAGATTGCAACCGCAACGTTTTGTTAAATATATTGAAAGAACGATATTGTTAAATGTGACGTTAAAACAAATTGGCTAAGGCAAGCATAAGACGCTAATGTTTAAGTTACTGTTATTATATTTCTTGATCATTCGTACCCAAAGAGATTGTGATTTTAACCGTTAAATTTTTTTTTTTTATCACGATCGCTGTACCTTTTAAAGGGTTTGCGATTGATTTTGAAATAAAACAATTAAGCCACAGGTTATGTTTAACGTAATGAGCAAGTTTAGATAATAATTAACCATGAATCAACGAGTTTATATAATATCTAGCGCAATAATAGCTTTTACAGATTTCACAGTCATAAAATTGTCTATTACTAGTCCAAATATGGCGCTGGGGACCTATAGGAATTTTGATACGCAGCTATTGACACTGCGGCGATATGAACAAAATTGGGGTCAATTCTATTAATATAATTGTACCTCGCAGTTGGAGCATATCAGCACTTGCTTCGCAATTCAGTATTCGAGAATAGTTTAGCTTTGCAGTCAATTTTACCGAAGCCTGATAATTTTGAATAACATTAATTAATATTCAGATATTATAAATGATGGTTAATATGTATAGTATATGTAAAATACAAACAAACAGATGCGGCAAGGTGTTCAAAAAGTAATTATTTTATCTACTATGTATGGTATCATACAGATTAGTCTATATAATACAATATTTCGTTTAGAATAACTATTCACTCGTCGTTAACATAGCCGTTATTGATTTCTGCAATTATGCTGATTTAAGATTCTTTAAAGCAGCACAAAATTCTATTATGGATACGTTACAATATGACTTACACACAACAAGCTCGTCCGATTTTCAGTCTTAAGTCCGCAGCAGCCGAGCGCGCATAGCGGAGCGCCCAATCCGCCGGCGATTATGAGGAGGTACGCGATCGCTGGATACGTAGGCGTAGGCAGTAACGCCACGAACCGATGCCGCGATGCTACTGTCCACGCACCTACAGCTAATACGCCGACGCCTGCGAACTGGAAAATATCCTTTTATTTAGACTGAATATATTATTTTAATAGGGATGATGACTGGGTAAAAAAATGCAATTCTATTTAGTCCATCAGTCGGATAATAGAAAAATATTAGATACGTATTTTTTTTTACTTCAATTTAACAAGAAATAGCTTAGATAACAGGCATTAAAGTTGAGGAGTGGGGGCTCGCTACGTCACACCCCAACGTGACGTTATGCGAAATTTTAACTCAATGTAACGCTGTAATTTTATGATTATGAAAAAATACGTGTTTAATATTTTTTAACACTCTACCTGACGGACAAACAAACAAAAATTAGTCATCATCCCTATTATTTTCGACTCTTAAGAGATGGCGCTAGTTTAACTATTTTAAAAACAATAATAATACTAATATGCAAATTATTCTTTTGTATCATACACCAAGATAAAGAGCGTTTTCTCTCTGTGTGTCTGCGATTGCGAAGCCCAAACTACTTTTGGGAACTAGACAAGGATGTTCAAATATTAATTATACATATATAACACTTCAATGCTTCCAAAGGTACGATTCAACATGGATTTGTAATGGATAACACCCACTATTTCACATTGGAACCGTTTAGTAGGTTAAGGTGTATTCTTTTTGTGAATATGTATCCTTAAGCTTGGGCTTTATTAGTGTAGAAATTAGTTGGCTGAAGATTTATTTATATAGAATGAGCTAAATTACTTACCAAAAACACAACGTTGAAAATGTGCAGAACACATTTCAAGAAGTTCACGCTGCAGCAGTCCGCGTCGCGCGATTTCCTCGGTTTCATTTTCTTCTTTTTCCCTAATAGCGCGTTTCCATCCTTTTTCTTTTCCTCGGCCATATTTGATATATTATTCTTCTCATTCAAACGATTCTTTTATCTCCATTTATACATTTTTGTAATTAGTGTCAGAGTTACCTTTATTTATATGTGCGAATTCTGTGCTTGACCTCAGACGCAAACCATCAGTAGTTCTGTAAAAGAAAATTAAATAATTAGCATCAACTGCGTTATTGGGGCAACGACGTATAGATAAGGGATTATACTCACTAAATGGCTTAATTTGTTTTGTAGTCTTACTATGGTTTCCAAAGCCAAAAATATGTATGGGGTATCCTTAATAAAATACATTTATCAATTTAAATAATTTTATTTAGCAAGACCTATAAAATATCTTATAAAATGGAATAGTATAATACAACTCTTACCTAAGACAAAAAAAATGTCAAGAAAAACAAGAATTTCATGAAATTTTTTTTTAAATATTATGTATATGACATAGAAAAATAATAATTGATAAAGATTGTCTTATGTCTCTGTCGGTAAAAAGAAGAAGAATGTCTAAGATAATCACTTATCATTCAGACCATAATAACCTGTAAATTCATTCATTTCTTCTATCTCATACCAATGTTTGAAATTAATTAATATTATTGGAACATTATATTACAACACTTAACCTAAAATTAAGACAAAAAATGTCAAAAAAAGAAAAAACTGTGATTAATAAATTTAAAATATTATGTATATGACATAGAAAAAATAATAACTCACAAAGATTATCTTGTTTCTACTGGTAAAAAGTAACAAAACATGTATCATAATAATTAATCATTCAGTCCATGATTTCATCACAAGTATGTAAATTCATTCATTTCTTTAACCTAATACCAATGTTTACAATTAATCCTTTGGATTACAATTATGTATGTGTATAAAAGTATACCATAATATTAATTATTTTACACAATAATTTATGTCTAACACAAGAGTTATCAAGAAATATCCAAGGCCATTTAAATAATTATTACATTTCATAATTACCAGTTCCACTAAATTAAGCTCACTCATCATATTGTCGAAGAGTTACTTCCAACTTGTCCACAACCTTTTTGTAGAATGTTATCTGCTGTCGTAGGAATTTCTGCATTGTTGCTTTTAAGTCGGCAGTTCTTTCGGCTTTGAAATGGTTAATTTCGGCAAGAAGTGCATAAGATATGACATCAGTTCTTCTTAGGACTTCATTCAATTGAGCGATTTCCATTTTATGCTCAGCTGTTAGTCTCTCACACTCTCTCTTTTTCTGAACTGCTGCCTTGTGATTTCCTAGAACATCAGGGAAACTGCCCACAATGCCTTTGTATAAATGGAACTTGTCACCTAACGGCTCCCAGTCATACTTAGGCTGCTCATCATACATACGGCCAATTTCTATATAAGCTCCCCCCGTTTGTTTTATGGCAGATGTTAGTTTAGATGTTGAAACTATAGTGCCTTCATCTAAGCTAAGAGCATTTCCTAAGTTGTAAAAAGCTTCACCTACTTTTTGACAGTCCGTTTTATATGGGCCTTGGAATCTCTTGGTCTGTGCAACACACATATTTGATACAGATTTGACAGATGTATCCATACTACTAACGAAAGTGCCACACTGATCAGTGATGTGATCGACTTGTGATTGTAATAAAGCTTTTTCAGGTACAACTAATGATATACAATAATTAAGACCTAATAAATTGTCTCTTTCAGCTTGTCTCTTGCCAGCTTTCCATCTCTTTTCATCAGTGCATGTTAAAAAATGTTGCCATACTTCACTTTTTGATAAAACTGGGTGTCTACACATCCAGTCAACAAATTCCTGGAGTTGGACTCTTCTGCGCTCAATGAGTTGTTCATCATAACGTCCTGATATCTGTTTATCTGGCAAAGGTGGTATGGGTATTAGTGTAAATTTTTCCTGTAGTCTCTCATGCAGCCAATCAAAATGTTTATATCTTCTAGACACTTGTATGTTATTAAAAGATGGTGTTAACTGATATGCAATAAAGCTTTTAATTCCTTTGAATTTGGACTCTTTTTTAGGAGATGCTACAGTCACAGAATATGGCTGTGAGAGGGGTGACCAAATATACCCTTCTTCATCTTGGATTATGTAAACTTTGTCTGTTTCTGGTACCTCTACATTAAGGGTACCAAGAAGATAACTTTCTCCACTAACTTTTGACGAAGGGGCAAACTTGCTTTTTCTAACCGTTCCTACAGTTGATCCAAAGTTTGAAGTTGTTTCATCGATATGCTGATTGTAATCATTGATAGGCATACCAGGAAGAGGTGCAAGTGGAGCTTGTTGATTGTGATGTGTTTTACTTTGTTGTGCGGGTCCTATTTCTGAATAGGTGTCATCATCCCAATCGTCATCCCAGCCATCATCATGGGAAGTGCCACGTTGGTAGTTATTATCGCCGGCACTGTACTGTTGATCGCCCCAATCATCAGCAGCTTGATCATATCGAGGGGCTGCTGGTGCCGCCTTTGTAAGTTCTGATTCTTCTGGGGCTAGTTTTCTTACATATGCTGCAGGAAAAAGTCCAGTTTCTCCTTTGGAATTTCTCCCTTCCCACCAGCCCTCGCCTATTTCAGTATTAATGAGTGTTAATATTTCACCACAAGTTATTGACATTTCTGTGGTGCCAGGCTCACCCGTGAAGTCATACAATGCTTGGACCTGGGTCGACATTTTTGGACCCTGTTACCTACAACAATATCAAACAGATTATTACATACAATATACAAAGCAAAAGAAAGACTGAGATACACAAGTACTAATACTATCTTATCTTATAGTGTTATCTACAAAAGTTAGCAGTATGCACATATGTGTGATAATAAACAATATAAGATAATGTACATATGGAGTATTATTTAGGGCGTCGCTCAATCAAGGAGTTGACATATATTCCTAAATAGTTCCTAATTAGTTTGTTCGTAATTAAGAAAAACAAGTGGTCATATGTTATTATTGAACATTTCCAACGCTTTTTTATACATAATATTAAGAAGATAAAATACTATAGTTTGAAAACACAATGGCAAGTAAATACATGCTTCAATCAAGAACTTCAGGTCCGGTTTAACTCGCTCAAATATTTATATATTAACACAGTTTTTTAAATTACAAACAATATAAGATACAAAAAAAAAATCGAACATGAGTACAATGCGTTGAATTTAGACTGAAAATTAAGAAACGATTCGTTTTGAGATGGAATTCAATGACGTCAAATTCGCGTGTTGATTTTACTTTACATCTTGGCTTGTTGAGGATGTTAAAATACTGGCGTAATTTCACAAATAATAAAAGAAATAAATTAACATGAAAAATATTCGGTACTTACGTCTTATAATCACAAAAAACAATTAAATCAAGACGGAAACACTGATTGTACAGTCATCGGTATGACAGCTGTCTGTCCACCAGTGTTGCTATTACAAAATTGTAAGATGCCGCGTTTTGGGCATCTGAATTACCGTGTTTTACAATAATATAAAAATAAAATGTTCCTTAAATATAAAATGTAGTGATGATATTTATAATATTAAACATCATTTAAAATTAGAATAATGTAGTCTCGACTTTTCAAAAGAGCTCTATTAAACGATACTGATTGCACAGCCCGCCATCATTTTAAATGTATGACCAAATATTATACAAAAGAGAACTTTATTATTTTTTACAAATTCAGTTCCCGGGTATGTTTTATTCTAATTATATTAATTGAGTAGACTCGCTATTCAACTAACATTATAAAAATGTTGTTAATTGCTATTATATAGGTAATCTACAAAATAACTAATTTTCTTAATGAAAAATGTTAAAAATCCACATTGTCCCTGGTACTCTGAAATGATACTAGGGAACATGCAAATGTAAATGCAAAATTGATCAAATAAAATAATATAAAAATGTCGTTGCATTTGAAGTTTTCCACATTTAACGTTATTGTAAAAATTTTAAATTTCAAAATCACAAAGTCGTGTACAGTTATTATACTATCGCTACTGATCTTGCATGTCAACGGCGGACGTCGAGCCAGGTGTTATGTTAATTCGTACGGTGGGTATGTGCTTTTTTAGTTCTAACAATAATATTGTCAATAATAGCTTGACTTCCTACTCAACCTACTCTAGAAATCAGTTTTATTGAAATATATTACTTATTTAGTGCCTAGAGTACTCATACGGTGGTTTCGCGTGCTTCGGGTCGTTACGTTCCCTCAAATATAGATGAGCGAAGCGATGACCAGCCCCCTAATTGTCTAATTTTAAATCTATTGCAATCGCTTTCATTTTGAAAGGTGTTGCACAACCATTGCTGCATAATACAAATACTTTTTTTTCAACTGTCTTCAGAAACAAGCAATGGTTATACAACATCTTTCAAACCGAAAGATTTTAAAGTTAGACAATTAGGTCCCGAGTTATATGTCAAGCTCGTCAACGGATGCTGCCAGTGTGGTGAGTCTGTACTGGATTACTTAATGTGGTCAATTTTCTTTAATTATGAATATTGATTTGTCTATTAGTATGTAGGATTTCTAATATTATAATGGAAAGTGATTTCATCACACACAATTCTTGGTTCATCTCGTTTGTTTATTTAATTTATTTTAAATTATTTATTGGGTAAAAATATGCCTATAAAGTCGCTTTTATTTTTAAAAACAACTTATAATGCAAATAAAACGTGTTTAACATTAAATTATGGCAATTTGATCTGTGAGACTGTGACGTAATTGTTCAAACTGACAGCATATCAATTCACTGAATCGATTCAAATTGATTCGAATTTGGTATGGTATTTTAAACAGATAACCTCCAATAGATGCTGCATGAAAGATAATAATGCTATACTATGATTCTGCATAGATAGTTTGTAGAAAAATACGTAGTGATACTTGTATGCGAATCCGTCCGACTTTGACGAGAAGACTTCTTTTTTAATTAAGTAGTTATTGGGTTAACCATAGCAAGTTGTCGTGGCAAGTGGTGTGGAAAAAATCTAGAACAACTGATTCCAAGAATGATGGTATAATTAATTCCCCCTGTAAGATATTTTTTTTTTATTTTTTCATGTAATAGTGGAAAATAAGGTAACTATTAAAAATGCAGCACGCGTTGATGTCTTCTTGAAACCCATCCCTTTCTCTCATTACTAAATTAGTATATTCTTAGCTTTCTGACAAAGACACGTGTAACACTAATATCGCTACTACATGCTTTTTCTAGGTATGATCGATATCGATATTTCCATACGTAAACATTGATTGGCATTGTTACTATTCCAGGAAAAAATTGTCCTCAGTGCACAAATTAGTACACAAAAAAACCCCGAGGTTTATAACCGATACCTACAGTACCATTAATAGTTTTCATCCTATTTTAATACTTGTTCGTTATTTTAAAGTCCAAAATTTGCACCAAATTAAATATTTAAAGATTAAATTTAATATTTTTATATTAGCGCTTTAATTTTTATACAAGTATTGTGTATGCATTTTATCATAGCTTTAAATTAAAAAGTGTACCAGGTAAACAAGAAATGAAAAAATGGTGATTTTTGGGGAACTTTGAATTTTTTTCTACCGGGGTTTTAAATTTACCTTTTGGTTGTGATTTAATATAACATCGACTGATTGAAAGTTAGTGATTTTAGGCGTACGCGCTCACTGAAACCTTGCCGTTGGATGTGGTTTTCATCAATTATTTCATAGTGCTATAAATTGTGAATTATATAAAAATAAATAAAATGAAATATAATTTTAATGACATCCAATAATAATATTTATTATCGATCAATGATCGACATGCCTTTAACACGTCATGGTTACAATAGCGTCTCTGCAGTTACCTAGCCCGTCACCTACTCAAACGCTAAGATTGGCATTTTCATTTTTTGAACAAAATAGTCATATGATAGTCTGTGGGTATTTATTGTGGTAAATAGATTGGAGGTTGTCTGTGAGTATTTTAACTAAGATTTGAAGTAATAATTCTTTTGGACATATTTCAAAAAGATTTATTGAAAATAGATAATTCAACGCTGATTTTATCGAAATTCAATCCTGACATGATTAATTTATTTCATAATCAACATATGAAATTCATCAGCGTGCCTCTAGTTAATGATATCATTTAGATGTCAATCTGTGCTTTCATTTTGAACATTGACGTCAGTTTTTTTTAATGTCTTTTGCGGTCTCGTGACTCACAATTTAAAAAAATAATTATTTTAAAATGAAAAATTGTAATTCTTAATTTATTGATTAAATTTTATGCTTTTTTTAGATTACATTTTGTGATTTGTGATTACTAATTACGTATCAAGTAACACATGATTACTTCTAGGGACCACATGTCTATGCTGGGATTCTTTACGTAGTAGTCGTCGCCAGTTAGGCTTATTCGCAAGTTATCATCGTAAAAAGTGAACAATTGTCAAAATCACTTATAAGAAACTTAAGTGAACGACTATTTCAATCACTGTAATATGTTATTTTCACTATGCAAGTGACACGTAATAACGGCACAAATCGGCATATTTTCGTATTTTGCGACGCACTATTGACCACTATGACATTGTGCAAATACTGCACTGGAAATTTGAGTAACATGACGTTCATATGACCGTTTGGGCATATGGATGGTCGCACGACCCCGCCCACTTAATCGTTCTATGTACAAAACAAATATCAAAATCGGTCCAAATGAAGAAATAATAGAATAATTAACTGAAACGCCAAAATTTTATAGTAAAAACAATTTATTATAGGTTCTTTATATTTATTGTTTTAATTTTTAATATCAAATGTATTCTCACTATCTAAAATTACCTTCCTACACCTTTTAATAAAATTACCTTTTCACAAAAATGATTCAAACGTTTTGAACCTTTATTGTGATTTTTAACCAAGATTAGTGCCTTTAATTTGCTATTTTACTATATGGATCCAAGAAGTTTGAGTCGTTTTCATGGAAGTAAAATATGAACCTACCAAAGATGTGGGATGGCAAGTATCATTGAAAAAAATTTCAAATCTATACTAATATTATAAAGCTGAAGGGTTTGTTTGTTTGTTTGAACGTGCTAATCTCAGGAACTATACTGGTTCGAATTGAAACATTATATTTGTGTTGAATAGACCATTTATCGAGGAAGGCTTTAGGCTATATAACATCACGCTGCAACTATTAGGAGCGAAGAAATAATGGAAAACGCAGACGAAGTCGCTGGTGGCCACTAGTATTTAATATAGCTCAGAGATTTTTTCCTATATGAAAGTATAGATCCTGATGGACATTTTGGTGTACTTAACTGAACTGATAAATTAAGTAATATACCTACAAGCAAGCTATTTCAGCAAATTATTAGATTTATATTTTGGACACCCTACATTAAATATATGGTTAAACGTGAATTGCAATATAATTAAAAATGTATGTTTAAACGATATGATCTGTTTTATGTGGCCATGAAACGAGTATTTCATCTACGATCTGGCTACGACATTACACTAAAGATGGGATTATCATTCTGTACTCCTGTAACCGCATGTCAGACTATATTTAACTGTCAAATTTCCGTGCTCGATTTAAAACTTTAATTTATTGAGGATAGAGGTCAACATCAATTACGGAAATTTTAATACATCGTGGTAACATGACATGCACTCGTTTGCA